CTAGTCTCACATTCTGTAGCCCAGTGTCTCTAACGTGGTTGTGAAAAATGGATGAATAGCACAGAGCACAGCGAAGAAAGAGTTCAGGTAAATATACTGGTTGGTTTGTAGAAACACAACCAAGAAATATTGCTGAAGTACTGGGACATTATCGCTGCAAATGTGAACAGTTGTGGATTTGCATGCTTTATCGATCAGTTTCTTGCTTCAAAATGCAAACACAATGCTGACTTCCTGTTCACTTATTTTCTAACATCCATTTTTTCTCTTTCCAAATGCTGTCTCAGGTACATGGAATCACAAAATCTAACAAGTGTCCCAGAATTGCTCCTCCTGGGCCTTTCTGAGGAGCCAGAACTTCAGCCCGTCCTTTTTGGGTTGTTCTTGTGCATGTACCTGATCTCTGTGGCTGGGAATCTGCTCATCATCCTGGCTGTCAGCTCTGATAAACATCTCCATACACCTATGTATTTCTTCCTTTCAAACCTTTCCTTGGTTGACATCGGTTTCATCTCAACCACAGTCCCCAAAATGCTGGTGAACATCCAGACACAGAACAAATCCATCACCTATGTGGGCTGCCTGACACAAGTGTCTTTTTTCAATCTACTTGGATGTTGGGACAGTATGCTGCTCACTGCGATGGCTTATGACAGGTTTGTGGCTATATGCTCCCCGCTGCACTATACAGTCATCATGAACTCCCACCGCTGTGGCTTCCTCATTTTGGTGTCTTTTTTCATCAGTCTTTTGGACTCCCAGCTGGAGTGTTTGTTGGTGTCACAGGTTACCTTCTGCAGGACTGTGGAAATCCCCCATTTCTTCTGTGACCCTCCTCAACTAGTTAAGTTTGCCTGTTCTGACACTACGCTCAATACCATCCTATTAAATTGTGTGGTTGCCATCGTTGGTGGTGTTCCAGTCTCAGGGATCCTTTTCTCTTATACGAGAATTATTTCTGCCATCCTGAGAGTCTCATCTTCAAGTGGGAAGTATAAAGCCTTCTCCACCTGTGGCTCCCACCTGTCGATCGTTTGCCTATTTTACGGAACAGATATTGGGGTGTACCTCACTTCAGCTGTCTCTTCTGCCAGAAAGGTTGCAGTGGCTTCAGTGCTGTACACCTTGGTCACCCCTATGCTGAACCCCTTCATCTACAGCCTGAGAAACCGAGATATCAAGATTGCCTTGCAGAGGCTCCTTAGCAGAACAATCTAATTTGATTCTTGTACTAATTTGATGTGTGGATTATACAAGATGGCAAGATCTAATAACTGCAACCAGAAATCTTGCCTCTTTGGTTGCATAA